AGGATGCAGGCGTCTCCCGCTCTCTTGTACTACTATATTTCCCGCCTTCCTAATTATTAATTCGCCTCGTAGAATGTCTATAACAACGCCCTCTCTGCATAGCTATAGTCTGCCTAGTATTAGTTAATAGGAGAGACTAGGTACTATATAAGCTAAAAGCTAAGACTACTAACTATCTAAATTATAGTCTAATGCCACTAACTGTAAAATTCTTGTACCCTTAGTAATTCCCTAGGTATGTTGTAAGGGTCGCGGGGGAATATTAATAAAGTTCCTCCTAATCTATTTTGCTAACTTTTCCTTAACTGCACTAAAATACTAGCACCCTAAATTAACTATTGCTTGCACGTTCTCTACTCTACCTAGGAGGAGGGGAATAAAGAAAGGCAGATTATTTAACCTAGCCTTAATATCTAGGGGACACTTAATAGCCTCTACTATTAATAATTCCTCTGTTACAGTGTCCTCCTTATACCCCTAACTTAGCCTAAAGTTAGGGGCGGCTAGTTTCCTAAATTAGGGCCGCTTGCTAATGCTATAACTGTCTTAACACCTACTAGTTATAGCAACAGGGCATTAGGGCATGCACGCACAAAATAACCGCCCTATCCACACTAGGTACAGACCCTCGCCAGTTTCTATGCATTAAACAGGTCCTGTAGGATCTAATTAGGGCGTGATATTAGTAGTTTAGTAGGTGCACTTAATAAGGCCGCCACTTCTACTATATTTATATCGCTATCCTAATCTAAGTTAGACTTCTACTAGGGTTCCTTAGACTTACTAGCCTAGAGAAAACCTAGTTCTAGAGAGGCTATTTTAATATCTACCGCAATTATCTTATATTCCTCTATAGCTACGTTATAGTTTGTCCTAGAGACTCCCCTATTAAGAGAAACTAAGCGTATATAACTATTAAGAGATCACTAAAGTTATAAAAGCTTCTATTTATTATCCTAGTGTAAACCTCCTAACTATATAAGGAGCTACACAAAATTCACAAAGAACTCTATAAAAGGCTAATTTTAGCCCTAATATAAGTGTTCTAACGTAACTTAGGCGCGCTCCTGCCTATAATAGTTGCTGTAATAGAACGCTAGGTAGTTAAGAAACCTGCTTATATCCTAACGCTTACGTGCATTATCCTTAAAGTATAGTGCTATAGCGCGCTAGACTATAGGTAATAACTAGGACTAAATATATATAAACCTTGCCTCCTTATCCCTAATAAAGACCTCGTCTGCACGCAGTTTAAACTCTATAGTTATTCACTAGAAGGAGAAGTTTGCCTTAGTGCTATTATATAGCAAGCTAACTAGGAAGGGCTTGCAACGTAAGGCGGGAGAGGGCAGAGGCAGCATATTATTAAACCCGGCGGGCTTAGAGGAGGGTTAGGATAGAATCTAATTGCGTATTTCCTTATTCTATTAATATAGTACAGCTATTATAGCAGAGTCTTAAGCCTATTATTCTATTAATCTATAGACCTGTTGTATTAGCCTTTCTACTATATTAGGTTGCACCTAGTTATTCTAAATATCCAGCGCGTCCATCTCTTATTACTATTATAGTATATTTAGAAGAAGATACTAAAATATTATAGACTGGCCTTAAGGGAAGAATGTAATAAGTGTTAATAATAGTATTTAGTATCTTAAAGGAGAGATAAGCCCTCCACGCCTTTTTATAGGTATCTAGTGTGTTCGCTTAGTAGTAGTGTTAGACTTGGTCCGTCTTGTGTTAGACCCAGGCTTGGGCATAAGCCCAAGCCCTTCACATCTCCCCTCTAAAGCTTTTTAAGGTACCTTTGCTTAAGCCTATTAGGAGTTCTATAGTTATAGTATATTCTAAACTTACTCTAGGCTTTAAACTCTTTTATATCCTATAGATCTATCTAGTGTGTACTATATAATATTACTTATATAATTCTAATAGGTTAAGAATAGGTTATAAACTTACTTCTAAGTAGCCTTAAGAATACTTATATGCTTACTAGTTTTATATCCTTTCTAGCCTACTTGCTTAGCTATATTTAAATAAGATTCTAGTTTTTCCTATACCTCTTTTAATATTTTACTATAGTATTATATAATCCTAGTAGCAATTACTAGGTTTTTCTTATAGATTACCTAGTTTTAGGCATCTTTAGAGGGTTTATATTCTAATTATATAAGAATAAGTTAAGAACATGTTTAGAATAGGTTTAGAATATATTTACTTATATAAGAGGAGGTTAGTAAGCTAAAAGTATTCCTCTACTATTAATGCCTGTAGTAATTCACTTAGATATAAAGAGGTAGTATTATCTAGCTCTCTTTTACATACTTTATAAATACTTCTTTGTAGATATACTTAATAAAATCTTATATAAGATTAAAGTTGCTAGCGCTAGTTACGCTTATAGGGATTAATTAACTAGAGATAGTGCCTAAGTCCTAGAAACAAGTTAGAAACACGTTATAAACAGGTTATAGTACACTATAAAACTTGCCTATTATCTGCTTATTATATATATTAATAGTAGTCCTATAGAATCCCTATAAGTAAATATACCTCTATAACACTTATCTTTTTATAAGTGCTTTACACTTCTAAAAGAAGTTAGTAATAGTAACTTAATATATCTTAGTTATATCCTTATCTATAATAATTTAGCTAAGTATAATAACTATAATATATTAGAAACATGTTATAAACCTATTCTTAATGCGTATACTTCTTTTCCTATAGGTAGAAGATTACTATTAGAATCTCTACCTATACCCTATATAACCTCTTATATAACATATCTATCTAGAATATGTCTTAATCTAATAGAATTAATACCTGCTCTTTAAAAAGGTAAATAATTAAGTTACCTAAGCTTAATATAAAGATTTACTATATATACGCCTGTAGTAACGTGTTAGTAATATATTCTAAACCTATTCTCTTACACTATATATAGTTTTAGGATCCTAATACTTTATCCTCTACTTATAGTATACTCCTCTAAGGCTACTCTTAAATAGGAACTATAGAAGCTTTTTACGCTTTATAATATGCAAGATTTTATCTTTATTTATAAAGCTAATATATATTTCTTTAATAGAATAGAAACCTTTAAGTTAGAGATAGGTTTAGAGCTAGGTTAAGTTTAGGAACTAGGCTATAATAAGTTAGGAACATATTTATAATAGGTTATAAACAACTTATATTATATAAGCTACAGAGTAAGTATAGGCTATAACACCTTTACTACTTCCTTAATATTACTATTAGATAGTATTAAGGGAGGAGGAGGTATATATATATATATACTAAAAGAAATAATAGTAAAAAAAGGTATTACTACTATATCTATTAGTATAATTACTTAGAAGGTAACTTTATATAGGATTTTAAATAGAGATCCTTGCCCTTATAGATAATTAACGCCTAGAATATATTAAGAATATGTTAGGAATAGGTTATAATATACCTACTACACTTCTTTATCTAGCTTAACTATAGCTTAACTACAGAATATAAAGCAGGACTACTAGAAAGATTTAATATCTCTCTAGTTAGAAGACCTTGTAGATATATAGAGTCTACCTCTAGTAGTACCTAACTAAAATAATATTTTTTCCTAGTAGTAGATATTAGGCTATAGTTCTAATAGCTAATATATAGTTAAGCCTATTCTATAATTTACTAACTTATTATTAACACGTTTTAAATATATTTAAGTTTTACTCCCTACCTAATTTACTATAGTCCTTATTATAGGATAATAAGACACCTAGTAGTCCTTATAAATCCTTAAAGAGAAGCGCTTAATAAGGCTATAATAATAGCTTCTTATTTATAGTTCTCTTTATAGAATTTTCTTAGGTACTATACTTTTTAAGGTTTAGATCTAATTATATAATGCGTTATTAATAATATAATAAGAACATGTTTATAATGTATTCTTAAGATACTTACACGCTTTTACCCTAGAGTATTAGTATTTATACTAGCTTACTAGCTAGCTATTAAAGAATAGTAAAGTTATAGGCCTATTAAGATAGATAGACTAGTAGGAGTATTGTACCTGCTAGAATTAGAATAATTTAAGAACGTGTTCTTAACGTGTTACCTATGTAGCCTACACAAGCACCTCTTCTCTTATTAGGTAAGAGCTATCTTTATATTGCTAAACTAGTATTATATACCTATACCCTTAGCTATATAATTAAGGGTATACTAGGAGAATAGCTATATACTTAATAATTACTAGTATAAGTAGTAGTCCTTAACTATTACTATAAGTAAGGTATATATTATGCCCTTATAACGTGTTACTAACCTATTCTAAACTTGTTCTATTTACTTTTACTTACTTCCTTAATACTACTACTACTATCCTCCTCTAGCACTTTATATAGTTACCTAAATTTATCTCTAATATTACTATCTAGTTTAGATATATTATCTAGTACTACTATACTAAACTCTAGTATAGTATTTAGGAATACCTATATATTATTAAGAATAGGTTTAGAATATATTTAAAAAAGATAGTAATAAAAACTACGTTTACTTGCTTAAATTACCCTAATTTATACTTAACTATAGGCTAGTTTATATAACTATAAAAATTTGCTGCTGTGACGTGGACTTGAACCTACAGGGATATTCTAACCACTCGGAGTAAAGCCCAAGTCGCCCGACGCTAAACCCATGGTCATATGACATGCCACCACGTCAGACCTGGCTCGCTCACGAGCATGTCGTGTTTATACGACGGGACGACCAATTGTCTAGATAGTAGGTTTGAAACAAGGCTTTGATTATCAACCTAGAAAGTACTGCAGTACTACCTTACTAGTCCTATCCTGCTGTTTCAGATGACGACTTGTCGCAGCCCTATGGAAATTTGGATCAGAGCGCAGTCCTCGTGCTTCCACAAAGAAGATAGCTGCTGCCACCATGTTATTTCATGTCATCTCATCGAAGAGGGCTGCAAGTGCAATCTTTGTCGCAGCCGCCTGTTCATGTTCCCTCCAAAACAGCACGGCTCTCCCGTGTTGCCCCCACGGTACAAGCAACTCCAAGCAGCAAATGGACGAAGAGTATTCAAAGCATTCACAGTCTTCGCAGTCTTCGCAGTCTTCACAGTCTTCACAGTCTTCACAGTCTTCACAGTCTTCACAGTCTTCACAGTCTTCACAGTCTTCACAGTCTTCACAGTCTTCACAGTCTTCACAGTCTTCACTTGCTCTCAAGACTACTTCTCAACTACTGCTGGCTCTACCTAACAAACCTAGTCCAGCCCAGTCGCCTGATCTACCTAGCGACTGCGCTTGACAGGCCGAGTGCATCATCACACGTGCATTTGCAAACGCCCACCTGCACCTTCACTCCCAGCACTGCAGCCTTGGAACACACACGTCCCAACCATGCATCCTTTGTGCAACCGGAGAAACCCTTTGATCGCGTCAGCCAAATTGCGCATACTCGCCCTGCACTTGGTCGCATACCTTTCTACTGGTATGCCGCTGGAAGGTTCGGCCCGCTATGTGGTTCGCTACCGTCACATGAAGGAAGCTGCGCATGGTCCTTTGGTTACCTCACCTTGCAACCACCATCATGCCATGTTCATAGCGACCCCCACCACCTAGCCAGCGTGGACAATCCAGGAGACAGCCAAAGAGGAGGAAATATAATCAATCCACACCCTGCAGTCCCGACCAAACTTCCTCGACAAGTCCCATCCGACAAGAAGAGCATGTCACCAGGAGATTGCGCTGTGAATGGTTGGCGCTGACAGCAAGCTTTGGACTAATATCCTTCAAACACGTTCAATTTACCAAAACTCTCGACCCTCTCATCGTCCTTGGAGCCGATTCGGCGCATACGCCACGCCCAACACATTGCGTAAACCCTACGCGTGCGCACCAGACTCGACGCCCGCAGAACGCTTCCCCAACTCGAGGTCGTGGTCGACTTGCCTACCATGCCAGCCTCGCAATCCCCTGGCGCCAGCGCAGCAGAGCGTCCTCGGCTCTCCGACGCACAGAAGAAGGAGAACCACATCCGCTCTGAACAAAAACGCCGCGAAGCCATACGCGAAGGCTTCGACCGCCTCGCCGCTATAGTGCCCGGCATGGAGGGGCAAGGACGCAGCGAGGCTGTCGTCTTGGAAGCCACAATCAAGTACATGAGGGAGAAGATTGTAGAGAGGCAGGAAATTATTGCCAAGGCGAGGGAGAAGGGCATCGACACAACGGGGTGGGAACTACCGGATGAGACGTTGAGAGCGTGTGAGGCGCAGCTGAGACGGCAGGAGGAGGAGGACAAACGGACGGGTGGCGGGGACGAGGGAAACAAGTCGTAGCAACGACTGTGTAAGGAAGTGAATGCGCAATATCCCTCGCTTCGCCCTAGCAGATGCATCTGGCGTTGTTGTATTCACCATGATACCCTGGTTGGTAGTAATCAACAAAACCATTGACACCATAGTGACTTCTCCGCTTAATAACCTGCTTGGGAGTAACCAACAATACCATCGCTATCACACCATATTCTCCACTGCATCTACCGCCTACAAACCCACCACGCACACGCCTCCGCCTCTGTCCTCGCCCTTTCCCACAGCCAGCACAACCACACCTCGGCATCGTCCCAATCAGGCTAAACCCACGACCCTGGCATTCACCTGCGCAGGACCCATACCTTATCGATAAGACCCGAAAATGTTCCTCCCGTGCCCCAACACGCGCCAAATCACAAGATCCAACGAAAAGAAGTGCATGATATTCCCAGGCCCTGGATAACTCATGGCTTTCAGCTTCGGGTTCTCGGGCGACGATATAGAGCGAGATCCGAATGATGTGGGCGACTCAACACACCAGGTGGATTTCGAAGGCGGTGACGATGCAGCGCCGAGTCTTGTGCCGGCGAGGGTTTGGGGGTGGGATGAATTGGTGGGTTTGCGTCTTTTGTTTAATGAACTTGTGTCTCTGTTCAACTGGATATTGGATATCCTTTTGTCTCCCCATCTCTCTGCCCTGTTGTCCCCATTGCACCCCAATTTCAATTCACCAAACCCCGCCCCTCCTCCCACACCCTTCACCCCAAATCCATAACCTCCCACCATAACTAACAACCCACCTCCAACCCCCAGCTCTCAACCCTTCCCTCCAAAATCTCCTACTCCACAATAACCCTCACCACACCCCGCGGCCACACCGCCCGCCTGCCGCGCCGCGAACTCTTCGATGTGCGCTTGCAACTCATGGCCGAAGACGACAACACGTCGGCTGCGCCGCTCTTGGGCCTCTCCGAGTCGGATCTGGCGCCGAATGTGTATGAGGGCGGGTTTAAGACTTGGGAGTGTAGTCTGGATCTTGCGAGGTGGTTTTTAGAGAGGGTTGAGGGGAGGGAGGAGGAAGAAAACAAGGAGGAGAATGAGCAGACAATCGACCCAACCCGAGCATCCCACATTATAGAAATCGGCTGTGGTTCCGCACTCCCTAGCCTCGTCCTCTTCCAACACGCACTCCACCACCACCGACCCTGCCACTTCACACTCACGGATTACAACGCCGACGTCCTACGTCTCGTCACGCTGCCAAACCTCCTCCTGTCGTGGCTCGCTACACTCGACGAGCCGCAGAGTAAGGCGATTCTCGGTGAGGAGGAGGTGAATCCTTTGATTTCCAGGTTGGAAATGGATACGACGACGATGCAAGCAAACACAAGCAGACATCAAGACGAAGACGCAGACGCAGGCGACGTCTATCTTACACCCAACTTACTCTCAGCTTTCCATTTGTACCTCTCACACGCTGCCATCTCTTTGACTTTTATATCCGGTTCCTGGCTCCCAACTACCACATTCCTCTCTTTAATTCCCTCGCCTTCCCCATATCACAATACACACCCACACCCGCCCTCCCCCCAAACCCTCATCCTCGCCTCCGAAACAATCTACAGCCCGCCCAGCCTCCGCGCCTTTGCGCAAACCATCACTGCACTGATGCGACGCGCGCGCCCTACGAAAACGGTAGTGGCGGCCAAGAAGGTGTATTTTGGGGTTGGGGGGAGTGTGGATGAGTTTAGGGAGGTTGTGGTGGGGTTGGGGGGCGTGGTGAGGGATGTTGGTGGGGGGGTTGATGGAGGGGGTGAGGGAGTACGGAGGTGGATTGGGGAGGTGTGGGTGCGGGAGGGGGAATGATGCTGATAGGATTTGGTGGATGGGAGATGGAAGGAGATGAGATGATTATCATGAGTGTTTGAATGAATGGAGATGCTAAAACACCAAGTCAGAACCAAGAAAAACACCACACCAGGTTTATTCCTAAGCTCAACTTCCCCACTACTCCAAATAACTCCCAAGACCTCAAGTCTGATAGTCCACCCATTGCACCCAGATACCGCATTTATAAACAAGACTACCCATCTCAAAGGCCTAAGCACACAACAGCACGGCATAGTATAACACCACAACGGCGCATCCCGAATCAACCCAAACATCCACCAACCATGGAAACACCTCAATCCAAATCAATCAACCCAAGACCCGCTACCCCGCCCTCGCATGAACACCCGGGCCCTCCAACTCTCTAGGCCCATCCTCCTTCGTCCCCGCCCCACCTCTCATAACATTTAGATAGCTCTGCGCCTCAAGACGAAACTGTTCACCACGCGTAGCCTGCAACCGCTCGACGCCGCGACCGATAATTTCCACGTGGTATTCGATTGGCATTGCAGCCGCCGCCGCCGCAGCACCCGCCCCCACACGCTCACCCTGCCCCGGGGTCTCTGCCGCCACTGAGGCCAAAAGCGGGCCCGCAACACCCTCCCTCAGATTCTCGAGCTCTGCCTGAATTTCCTGCAACTTGACTAGGGTGTCGGAAACATGGAGGACGGCCCGTTTACGGTAGGCGTAAATGTTGCGTAGCAGGTTGATAGAATTAGCGTTTGCCTTTACGTCGGCACGGTTACCGCCGAGTTGTGTCCAGAGCGAGGATAAGAGATCACCCTGTTTTGCAGAGATGGTGGCATCGTCATTGACGGCGATGGCATGGATGGTAGTGAGGCGTTCGTCAAGGTTGGTCAGGACCCAGAGGAGGGAGGTTGCGCTTTTGATGAGGGCATCGATTTCATCTTTGTTCCGGGAGATGTGGAGCACGTATTGGTCGAAGATACGGGATTGGAGGGATGGCGAGGGCGGGGCAAAAGAACGGGTGAGTGCGTTGATGAAGGTTTGGAGGGCGCCGGTGGAGGAGTCGTCTTGGTCGAGGCCGCGGAGGACGTTCATGGTCCATTGGTTTGTGGCGATGATGCGGTCGGTTGCGCCGCCTATGCGGGAGTTGTAGCGTGCGAGGTCTTGGGAGGCTTCTTTGGCGGTCAGGATGAAGTTTTCGAATTCGTTGTCGAGTTCGTTCCTGGAGGGGAGGCGGGAGTATTTGACGAGGGTGCGGAGATCGCGAATCGCGAGTTCAGAATCCTTGATGGAGGATGGGAGTGTGTGGACGTCTTTGGAGGCGTCGACAATATCGTCGAATTGATCTTGGACGGCAATGAGTTCTTCAAAGTTGGCGTGAGGGGGCTCGGTGTGGCAGGCGGAGATGAAGTAGGAGGAACCGGGAAGAGAGCAGACGGGGGCAAGGAGGGCATTGCTGACAGAGGAGCGTAGGAGTCCGGTGCCTGCTTGGATGCCAAAGACTATGATGCCGATTCCTAGAATGACGCCTAAGATTGGCTTGATGAAGTGGCGCAACGCATAAGAAAATATATCTAGAATATGGGCGAGTAGAGGAAACACGAAATTCTGCAAGACCAGGTTGGCATAATACCATGGCCCTAGCTCTTTTCCCTTCGTCTCTTGCTCTTGCTCTTGCTTTTTTGAAGGACGCGCTCGATTATCAACAGATGATGTTGGGCCGACGGCTGGAGAAGTGGTATTTGGCCTTCGTAGTGCTGACTGATTTGTCGCACGCTGTCGAATCTGAGGTGAAGCACGTGTATGTTCATCGTCCATGGCATGATTACGAGAGTTGTACATCAAAGGCATGATGAGACTAGGTTCTGAAGGCTCCTCTGCCCCCGCCCTATGTAGGCTCCTTGTAGCTTTTGGTCGTGATCTGGAGGATTCCAGGGTATGGGACTGTTTCTTTGAATTCTTGTTTGTTGACTTACGGGAAGGCGTAGACCGAGGTTGCAATGGAGGTGTTGATTGGGATAGTTGGGATCGCTTGGCCCTGGGAGTACGAAGTGGTACTACATCAGGTTGCCTTTGTTGTGTGATTTCCTTGTTGGAATCTTCCCACTCAACCTCACCCGTAGTCTCCTTTGCTGAGTCTACCGAACTGGCCTCATCAGATGCATAGTCGGCATCTCCCCAACTACTTCCCAGACTCTCATTCAACCTGCGCGAACGTGCGCTCATCGCAGCCGACGAAGGGCTGGCTGGTAGTGATGACGTATGAAAGATGATTCTGTGGGGTCTAGATGACAGCCAAGAAACTCGCCAAAGAGTTCAGAGGCTCTATAGTGCAGTAGTATCGAGTAGGCAGAGAGTGAGAGGTAGTTGTACACAGAAGGGAGACGCTGTAGCCTTGCAATGATTGTCGCTTCTTGAGGTCACAGGTGTGACGTGGTGCCTACCAATCAAGCTTCGAGCGCAAACAGCGTAGCGCCCACATACCGGTACCGACGCGCCATGCTTTCACAGATACGCGCCATAGAACAGACAGCAGAAGAGGTAAACAGCGGAGTTGGCTCATCCAACCACCAGCACGCGCCCATTTCGTGGAGCTGATGTTGGCATGGTGTTTACAACATGCAAGTCGCGTCGACGTCATGTAACATGTTCGCTACCCAACTCCATGACTCGCTGGCTTGGCAAGCTCGCTAGCAGACGGTGCAGCTCATTTCCATGTGGAGGAGTTGAAGATCGCCAAAACGCTGCGATGCCACCATTGCGCCCATTGACTTCCGCTCTACATGCCATCAGACGCAGTCAGCTGATCTCGGCTCGAATAAGGCAACATGGACGCATACATATCCGGAGTTGCTCTTGCTCCGCATCTCAGCAACAACAACAATCGCAGCAATCGCAAGCATCAGTCGGAGATGCTAAGAATGCTTCGTTGAACCCTCCCAAACCTTCTACAGACCACCGCACCCTGGCCGAAACACACGATCTTTTTATAACATCGCCATATAGTCCTGGCTCTCCCTTGCTCCTCCCCAATGGCGCATATGTCTTCCAGAAACTGCAAGCGTTCCTGCGTGCGCAATATCCACAATTCGGCTTCGAAGAGGTCATCACCCCCATCATATACAAAAAGTCATTGTGGGAGAAGTCAGGTCACTGGCAAAATTATGCAGAAGACATGTTTAGCGTACAAGGACGGGGCGCGACGGCAGAGATACCACAAGCAGAAGCAGAGGACAATGGAGAGTTTGGGCTGAAACCTATGAATTGCCCAGGGCATTGCATATTATTCCGGGACAAGGTCATGAGCTACAGGAACTTACCCGTACGATACGCCGACTTCAGCGCGCTGCATCGAAACGAGATATCGGGGGCACTCACTGGGCTGACCAGAGTTCGAAGGTTCCATCAGGATGATGCTCACATCTTCTGTCGACCGGATCAAATACTGGCTGAAATCGAACAAACTCTCAAGTTTGTAGGTATGGTATACAACACCTTTGGTTTGGGTCCTTATAAACTGCTTCTTTCTACCCGCCCAAAAGAAAACTTCATTGGTACTATCGAGGAGTGGGACCGTGCCGAGGCACAACTCAGTACTGCCTTGGACAATATCGGTAGCGAATGGGCTGTCAACGAGGGAGATGGCGCATTTTACGGCCCAAAGATTGATATCATTCTGAAGGATTCCAACGGGAAAGAGCATCAGACAGCGACAATACAACTAGACTTCCAACTCCCGCAGCGCTTCGACCTACAGTATCAGGCATCACCCGAGGAAATAGAGGCTGGCTCAGAGATGTCAATGGATGCAGGCCTGGACACTTCTCTACGCCGTCCGGTCATGATACATCGTGCCATTTATGGCTCTATCGAACGTTTCATGGCGCTGTTGATTGAGCACTATGCTGGCAAATATCCCTTTTGGCTCTCGCCCAGGCCCGCCATAATCCTTTCATTGAATTCTGATCCCAAGCTCCTCCAACACGTGTCTCATATACAAGCCGTGCTCTCTGGCGTCAAAGCAAGCAAAGAGCCTGTTGTTTCACCGCCATCTGATCCAAAGCCGCTACCACTTTCAACTATACAGCTTCCTATTGACATTGATACAAGCAGTCGGCCCCTTGGTAAGAAGATCGCAGAAGCTCGGACCAACAAGTACAATCACATCATCGTGGTTGGTGGACGCGAGATCGAAGCTGGCGTCATGAACTTGCAGGTGGTCAGTCAACCCAATGAGACTGCCACCTTTGCGATGTTAGAGAAGGTGCTCGGCAATGAGATTCCTAATAAGGTCAAAGCGAAGACGGAAGTGAAGATCAGCTTAGAAGCGGCCAGGATATATTTCACTGGCTTGGTGAATTCTTATCTATGATTCAAATCCGACTCGGACGATCTAGAACAGAAGTATCATACAATGTTCATCCATCAAAATCTGAGCTAGCAGTGTTGTAATCTCACCCCATCTGTGACTTGGATTCACAGTCACATTCACCGTCATTAGCGCCGCGCAGAATTGTTCTCAAGACATAAATCAAGGCCACACCCACTTACTTCGACCACTTACTTCGACCACTTACTTCGACCACTTACTTCGACTACGACAGCTTCTCCAATTGCACAAAAACCAGCACTCTCCTCCGCGTTCTTCAATATGTCATCCGCAAGCGACGAGATATACAAATCCATACTTCCACCTATCAAGTGCTCTCATCCACCTCCAAGACCACCCAGGTAAGACCTTGCTGATAGGCGACATTTACAACTATGTAGTCAATTTACAACGGGTCCAGAGACGCATATTCAGACATGATCACGATCAAAGTGGGACCTGATGGGGCTACGAAGTCCTTTCATGTTTACCGTGGACTACTCTGCTTCCATGCACACTACTTTCACGCTTTGCTCGACGGCGGCTTCAAAGAGGCTGGATCCATGGTTGTCACACTGAAGCATATTCCTATCGAGGTCTTTGAGTTATTCTTCTACTGGATAAACACTGACAATTTGCCGCGTATGACTCCGAGATCAGTTGAGACATGCGTAGCATTGCTCAAGGCCTACTTCTTCGCCGACTACTTCCTCGCTACTGGATTCAAAAACGCCTTGTTGGATCACTTCCTCCTCAACTTTTATGCAATCTCTGTCATCGCATCAAATACTGAGCTGATCTACGAGAACACGGGCGAGACAGACTCCTTGCGGCGCTTTACCAAAGATATCGGTCTCAACTTCACTTGTTCGATTTTCAAGGAACATGTGTTTGGACCGCAAGACACCTTCCACAAGCAGTTCATGCTGGACATCCTCCGATCGCTACACAAAAAGCCGGACCTTTCGCCAATGTCGTCTGAAGATGTGGCAGATTGGCTCATGGGGCAGACGCAGACATTCTGCGCGACCTATCATGACCACAACGCACCGGAAATCCGAGCGTCCAGAGCGGCTGCTTAGTTCGCAACGCTTACGCACAATTCTTGTGCATTGTGTAAGGCCTCCTCGTTAGTCACGTGTTTCGAATGCTAAGATTATGCAGGCAATCGCAGAACAAGGCTGTGGGTCATCGGACGCTAGAAGAGGATGGGTAGTGGAATCGCACGTTAGATTCTGAAATATGCGCCTAGGCGTTTACTCTACACTGTGGCAGTGTGTCTATTAAACCACTTATTCACATGATTATTGTGGCTTTGATTGCTTTGCGTGACTTCCTTTTTGTTAGGGCAGTAGGGTTGCTTACCTACTTCGCCAGTCAGGTTGCACCTTCCCCCTACCTCCATCTTCTCATTGTGTATACCATCTTTTCGTTCCTCTCCTCATCGTATATACCCACCGCTCCCAATGAGCAGCGAAATCACCTTCACAGTGCTTTTAATCACTGCTTACGTACAGCCTTGCCACTGAGTCACGATAGTTCTCTATTACGATGGCTATTCTCCCTGCATTAGCTTATCAGTCACTTTCACCTTCACCCACAATAAGTCAACGCATTTTCGTACCTTCTTTTCAAAGTGGCGCTAACACAAACTACAGATTCGACGCGTTTGCACACTCACGTAGTCTTCTTTCTCTCACCTTCTTACTTCTAACACCACCAACTCACCGAAACGCCAGAATCAGTCTGCGAGATGGCGACACCGGAAAAGGAACACAAGGCGGGCAAGGTTTATGATGCACCTATTGAGCTACCCAAGTGCGCGCATGCCTCAACCCCCCCTCCGCCGTGAGTCTTTACCCCCAGGTGTCGCAATACTAGCACAACTAATAGTACATAGAGACGAATACGGAGAAATAGTTGAGGTCGTTGTCGGAGATGACAGATTATTCCCAAAGGAAACTTTTCAGGTCTTTGATGGACTTCTCAAGCATTACTCCTCGTACTTCCGTTCAGCCCTCAAAGAAGAGTGGATCGGGAAAGGTGCAAAGACAATTGCATTACCATTCGACAAGCCAAACGTGTTCCGAGCGTTCTATAATTGGCTGTTCGCCAGACAGCTGTATTCCCGACTCTCTGACGATGGATCCATTCCCATGAGCGTCCAGCTAATCTGTGAGGTTTACGTCTTCGGCGACGTTCGTGGCGTGTCAGAGCTATGTAACGCTGCCATAGACCTCCTCTTTCAGCGAAACTCCCAGAGATGGGAATTTCCTGAAGATTCACTGGCCTACATCTACGACAACACAACACATGCGTCCCCACTACGCACTTACATGGTCGAATATGGAGTCGAGAAGTATGATTACGGCAGATCAAACGTGGGAATAATGGACCTACCACAGGAACATCTCGCAGAATGCCTATTGACATTATGCAAACAGCGTAAGCAACCCTGCTATCTGAAGGATATGGCAATTGGAAAATACATTCACACCAAAAGCCTTGAGATTTGCAGCAAATACCACGACCACACTGGCCAGGCTGGATCCACGGATGCAAGGCTTGAGAGGAATGCCAGCGCGTGACTCGTTCAACTTGACACAAGCGACAAGTAGTCATCGGGGCTCATCAAGAACGACAATCTCACATTTCACTACATTTTCAAATTCGAATTCACACAATGTTTAATGTGTCCGTAGTGTGGATATAGGGATCACATAAGTGAACTGTGTATTCACCTATTCTTTTCCTGCGAAATGTGTTTAATAATTAATAAAAAAAATGCAACTGCAGACTTATATATAGCTAAGCGGACAGGAAACCCTGTTTGACTATTATCTGATAGACAGAACGTCTATAATTTTCCGCTAAACGGCAGGTGGAAGTATGATTTTTGGAAACCAGAATCTATGGCAAGACTCCTGTGAACAGGCATTTGATGCTGCTAATACTTTAGAAGCCCTAATAGGCCACATATGAATCTAGTTACTGTTCTATCTAACAGCAAATAACGTTAAATGATAAGGTAAATAGCAAAAAGAAAAAGTAAAAAAGATAATGACAAGTGGGGGATTCGAACCCCCGCAGGTTGCCCTATGAGAAACCTCTTGAGAATGCGTCTTCAGAAGAAGACAAGCTTTCGCTTGAGTCACACGCCATAACCACTGCGGAATGTTAGAAAGGAAGACATGGATTGACTCGGAGTGATGCTTACCTCGGCCAACTTGTCTATTGATGCAAAATTCTCGATGTAGTTGGTATATAATGCAGAATTTGTGAAATTCGCCAAGCCCTCCATACCCCTCCAAAGATGCACACATGGGCAACGACCCCACTAACTCAGCCTAGCAAGGTCATGTTTTCGACAGTCGTGCACCTATTAGAGGAGCAAACCGGACTTGGATCGCAAATGCCTTATTTTAGCAAAGAACCTAGGTATTCCCGAAATGGCAAATGCTCGGCACCACCTCCCAGATTACACATTCACCAACAGAATCACGGTGGAACAGTTTTCTCTCGTTCTACTGAAAGAGTTCTACAGTCTAAAAGTTATAAGATTGTTCTACAGATGGCTGGTTGCGCTGCTTTTGGTTAGCTGCCTGGATCTGAAGCATATATTGCCATTTCGCGCAGCCGATCAATTGTAACTGCGATACGTAGGAAGCACTTCGCGAGGAGACCTAGTGAAGTGTATTAAACACTAGACCACCGAGTGGACACAAACTTTGTGGAAAAGTTAGAAGCCAAGGTATGCGAACTTTATCAGAAGTGTCATTGGCTCGTGGTACAAAGCGTTTTATGTGGAGGGTAGGTGATCTTATTCGATGCACACACTGTTGAATCGACATGCCGCTGAGGCTGAACTCTTTTTCCACATTTCATGAGGACTTACATATTTTGCCAAGGTGCAGAACGTCGCTCGTGACTAAGATCGCGGATTCACATGCTAGGAAAGACTTCCCCATCCACCCACAGAACCCCTCCTCCAATCTACCCTAATCCCGCTCCATCTGCCAGATGTCCTACACTCTGATCCCCATCACTCTACCCCACAATTCTCAATCCCACAATGCGTCATAGTATGTACATACCTCAACCTCCCGCCCTCGACCCTAAACTCATGTGAATCCGGCCACCCACTCCTCCCAAACTCCATCATCACATCCACCGCTCCGACTACCTCATCAACCACATACCGTCTCCTCGTCAACGGCACCGCCGTCGGTATAAACCCTGCACATGACCCATTGGGCCCCTCATCGCCGTACAATCCACCTTCGAGCCGCACACACGGCGTTCCCCACGGCACAGTCACGTTGGGGTTGCTAAACACATCGCAGTAGGCGTCTGCGGCTGCTTTGAGGGTTGCTCGGGTGTCACGCTGCGGTTCCGGAATGGGGCCCCAGTTCTCGCGTGGGGAGTGGTAGGCGTAGCCTGTTATGTTGAACAGCCAGTCGCCGGGCTTTGTGATGACGGAGTCGAGTTTATTGATCTGGTGGTTTGTGAAGCGGAGTTGAGTGCCAATGACGTGGGGGCGTGTGCTGCTGTTTACGATGACTTCGGTGTAGGTTGCGCAGGCGGTAGTGTCGTAGAGGGAGCGATTGTGGGTGATGGCGAGGGGTTGGTTGAGAATGCTGGCATTGAGGGGGAGGTGGATGTTGTTTTCGTAGTATCCAAGCCAGGTGGAGTTGTCGAGGTGGGGGGTTAGGATTGAGGGCTTGCCATGGAGTTGGGCGGAGAGATAGGATTCAACGGCTGAAGCGAGCTGTTGCCGTGTGCAGTACGCGGAGGTCAGGGTTAATAATCCAGTTGTGATAAATATGAATTGAATCATGGTGTGTTTGAGATATGCCAGACAGAATAAGGGCCGGAAGTGAGTTCTGTCAACAGCAAATATGAAAGAAGATAATATCATCCTGATCCCCCCACAGCACTATAAATCCAATCTGCGGTAAAAGTCGAAAATATGCGGTACATGACGAGTGCCCCACTCCCAGACCCTTCCAAAAATGCACATCCATCTCTATACCCCTGTATGATCTGAGCCTTTGGTATAGATCGATGATCGTTGAGGTCATTCAACTACATCAGATCATGCCTTTCCTTGATCATATCCGCAGCCTTCAAAGTCAGCACACAACGTTTAACGCTTGAAATGAACTGCTTACTCTCTCAGCCCAAGCATACACACTCGCCTGGGGTCCGCCACCAACAATCAGCGGCCATGTACTTGCATCAACAACACTGAGCTGCTCCGTCCCATACACCTTGTTTTTTGGATCCACAACGCCGCCGTCTTCTTTATTCATCATTGCCACTGTACAGCATTGGTGCGCATTACTTGGAGCCAGCGCTTTCTTGAGCATCTCTTTAACCTCAGCGTCGTCGCTCAAGCCAGGCGCCGGAGCAGTCTCGATAGGCCCGAGAACAGCAATATCTGAGGATGCCATAAGTTCACGGTTCTTCAGATAAATTGCGTGTAGAATATCGAGGTCTGTCCAGTCTAAAAGAGCGCCATAGTCAATGAGGGGCGTGTCGAATATGCTGGTCGAATTGATTGTGATGGATCCGCGACTAAAAGGACGAGTTAAGTAGATACTAGTCTCAGGGCCAGTGTTCCAAGATACGCCTCCAACGGTCACAGTATTGATATCTCGGATGATGATGGCTCGCTGCTTCTTGTAGCCATTGAGTACTGTAGATGGAACGTTCCTGCCCAACATTGCGCCGAGACCATTAGCCTTGACCCGGGCCATGATTGACGAGGTGTTCGAAGTCCAGTTAGACAAAGGTAGTTGAATCATTGTATTTCCAGTGGTAACCGTTAGATCGTACGCGCTTGGGTGACCAGCGTCATAGAGGGCGCGCTGTTCAGTTGCGTAGGTTGCATTAGATTGCAAGGTGCCCCCATTGGGCACATGATTAGATGTGTCTAGAACTTCATTTAGCACACAACTTGGAAGGTGTTTCATACCATCACGTACAGTTGTAGTTGACTTTCAGAACGAGATGATCTTGCAAGTTACGACCGACGCCTGGCAAATCGGAGACTGGCTCAATACCCAGGTTCTTCAAGTGGGATGCATCACCGACTCCAGAAAGCTGCAGGATTTGCGGACTGTGGACACCCCCAGCAGCAATGATAACCTCCTTTTTTGCGCGCACTTCACCCACTGTACCATTGTTGTTGCTGACGAACGTGACACCCAGAGCAGTAGTGCCTTCAAAGATGACACGAGACACCGCTGTGTTAGCAAGGATGTGATAGTTCAATCTCTCGCCAACTCGGTCGTAATGATTGACGCAGGCGGAAGAACGAGTCTGCGTCTTAGTATTCACAGACCGCAAAAGACGAAAAATTCCTTGTGCCCGCCCATTGTTGGGGTCCTGTGAGGGTCGTATACCAAGATTCACGGCCGCGTTGTAGAAGTTTGCTTTATCTTGATCAGAATGGTATGATTAGACCAGTATAGTAACCCTTACCACTACCGGGGTAATCGTAGGGCGCATAGCTCGCCTGGACGGGTCCAGTTGAGCCATGAACGGATAAGTCCCAAGTAATGTTGCGTTCGGCCGCGTATGAAGTATCTGGGGGTGTGAAAGTCTCGCTCTGGTTACAATTCAGCTGTATCCTACTCATAAACTGATATCTCTTTACCTTTTTGAAATAAGGCAACAAGTCTGTCCAGCCCCAACCAGTAGCTCCAAGATCCTCCCAACTATCGTACAATTCAGCGTCGGAGCGATGGAAAAACATGGCGTTTACGACAGATCCTCCACCAACAACTCGGCCACATGGTACGCCGTATGAAGTCCCTCCTAGAGCTGCTTGAGGAGTGCTCATCAACGGCAGCCAAAGGTAGGGCACTGGGAAGTAGGCTCCAGGTATCATGACACTGTCCTCTTTCTGGTCGAAAGGTCCGTGTTCAATGACAAGGACGGCAACTGGGTATTCTTGTCAATAGATGAGGCTGAACTTAATGAGGGTGTATGCATACCGTTTGCATTCTCGGTAAGCCGATCTGCCACCGTTAATCCAGCAATACCACCGCCAGCAATAACGAAGTCATATGTTGCATTATTCAACTGATCGGCTTGAATAGATCTTGCTTTACGGCCTAGATGAGACTGAGCTTGCCCAAAACTTACAACGAGCGATAGAATGATCGTTCTTATTAGCATTGCGACGTGTCCACGGTTTCGAAACTAGGAGGATCATCAGGCGAATTATGTTGGGCGTGTACAAGTATACGCGAGTTCAGCCAGTTGTAAGCGACATGCAGCACTCTGCAGATATGGTATGTTCTGGATGTTAGGGTGACAAACTATTCCTGGTCCCTGGGAGGCTATAGTTCGCCTCTTATTCATCGCATGCAGATTCATCGGCTGGGCTTATGCCTTACTCGCATGGAACTATTGATGTGGCTAAAGCAAGGGAATGTGTTGCGAAACCGGATGTTTTAGTTTTTCCTGCAAGCGACTGAGATGTTGGTGTTGCAGGAAGCCGCACAACAACGTCAATCTCATGGGAATTGCCACTGGCTGGTTGTTAATATTTTGTTTGTTACTAGCGGAAGACTCGTTAGGATGTATGCTGTTATTTCTGCCTCCTGGGAGAAGTTATTAATCGAGATCTTTTCTATCTTCTCAATGATTCAATAAGTAGACAAGAGGATTTCTCTGGATGGGCCAAACAACCACCCAAAAGGTCAACCCGGATCATGGGAGAAGGCGAGCCATCTCATTTTGCCCGTTCTCTACTCGCACCGGATTTCTGTACATGAGATTCGAACTGCAGTGAGTGCTAAGAGCTGGTGTGAAGCAGGTAAAGAGGTTGGCAATAAATGGTGCACAAACGAGAGAAACGAACGCAAATCGCATTGTTCTTTGAAATAAATGTATATGTAAGCTACATGAAAGATGCCCCCTAAATCCTTCGATACGGCTTCAAATGACAAAAAATGGGGTCTTCTGACCCTAATCTTATTTTACTGTGAGCTTCTAAAAGATTGGCATAGCACCGCTAGAGCAATGTTACGATGATTGAGTGATCTACTCACTCGTGAGGGAAGGAAGGTTGACATGCCACATCAATTGCCTTGACCAGAAGTAGCCGCGCTCACTGCAATGGCGAGTTTGTACCTCTAGGCAGCATTAGTCCTCATCCGCAACTGCGTTAACTGCATCCAAATCCACGATTGGAAATGGCATTGCGTTCACTTCAGCAAGATAACATTGTATTGATCTCCTTACTGTTCCCTTGTGGGAGCGATTCACTAATGCTATCCAACAAAGATGCTACCTAAAATTACTCTAGGGTTGTGAACAGTGGTCTATGGGCAAGACATGCATAGACATGATGAGCTTGCATATGGTCAGTAATTGGCACGACGAATTATTTTGATGCCGTTGGGGAGTGGGAACCAGTACTCGGACGAAGTGCCCAATTACTGTGATGATTTGATGATTGCTAGGGATTAGGGGAAGTGGGGATCGGGATGTGGAGCTGTCCTTGCTTGAGTGATTTTATCTTTCGGCAGATGAGAATCAGCCATAACCATACCAGTAGTATAACGCCGACTGAAACCAAGCCCCACCACCCATCTATAGTGCAATAGTCAGAGTAGTGTAGATACAGCGTGATGAGCATGGAGCTGATAGGAGAACTTGGCACTTTCACTTGCAAGCATAACACCTACTATTACGCTCACAAGCTGTTCTGCCTTACGTACTCGCACGATTTTCCAGACGCTAACCGTACTCTCCGTGAAGATGGAGATGGAGTACCTACCCAAGATGTCACATGTCATTTAGTATACATGTTGATTGGTGGTAACTCTTATTGATTGTAGTAGCCTACATAGAGCACCACTATGGTACGTACGTCAGATATGCGGGGAAATACACCAGGAATACCTTTTCTTCATGCGGCTAAACCTCGCGTTCGATTTGCATCGGTATGCGGGTGCGGGATGAAGTACCTATGTACGGTGGAGCCCCACAATCTCGAGATAACCGGCCCCTCCGGCTGCCACCAACAACCATGTTGAAATAACATGCGAATCACAGTGACTGGGAGGGATCTTACCGATTCTACTTAGTTCTTAACACGGAATTGACCTGCACTTGTATCATCGGTAGCACTCTCGGTCTCGACTACTATTTCGTTCAATCGAGCCTTGTCTCGTGCCAACGGCTGCAGCTAGCCGCCAGCAATTGTGCAACTCGCAATCTTGAAGTCGAGCCCTGAGAGAAAGACGACGTGCCTGAAGGGCAAAACACCTCCGTTGCACCCTGCCAATCCTCACTTCCTTGCTGGATTCCGTGCATTTATATGCGCACGGTACGTTCTTACTATCAGGTACCTATGGTATGCAAGCCAAGTCGGTGGATCCCCTAGAGTCCGGGCACTGAATCGTTCCCGATGTGGGGGATACGCTAGGTTGGTGCAGCGTTTCCTGCCAGGTTTCCTCGTCTTAAAGAGTTGGACATCCGCAGCATAGGTACTACAGTGAGCATCCGAGTCTTGCACGGCATATCCCAGGATGATGTCCAAGCACCCAGCGTGGATAGCGCTGTTGAGCGCATCCGCAGGCTTCGCATGCTCAACGCCCGATGTTACAGAGTCCCCAACAAATGATACTTTTACAACGAAATGTGCTGCCATTGCGTCTCAACTTTCCATCGAGCATGGCACTGTGCACTTCTCTCAGTTCGTTTCTGCTGGGACGAATCTTACCTTCCCTGATAAACATCCAGAATGTTTCCCAGCCGCGATCGAGGTCGTGGCAGACATGTGCCGCGTCGCGCTGGCTGTAGCTACTACCAACAGTTCAGGCTTGACCATGGAAGCTTGGCTGCCATCAAACTGGACCGGGCGTTTTTTAACCTCGGGTAATGGAGGTGGGTGTTCTACTACCATTGCTCTGGCTTAAACGACGCGTTAAAGGCGGCGGAAACACTAACAATCATCTTTAGGACTTGACGGGTGTATCAAATATGAGGATATGGTATACGCCACCTCACTCGGCTTCGCCTCTATTGGAACAAACAATGGACACCATGGATCGAGCGGTCTTCCATTTCTAAACAGTCCGGAGGTTGTAGAGGACTTTGCATATCGAGCGTAAGTGCTACATTGGTCAAGTGTCATCCTTGAAAAGAGGCTAACCCCTCAAAGTGTTCTTACGGGTACTGTTGTTGGTAAGGAGATTAGCAAGACCTTCTATGGAAAGGAACACGACAAGTCGTATTATTTTGGATGCTCCACTGCTGGGCGACAAGGCTTCAAGATGGCCCAGGACTATCCTGAGGAGTTTGACGGCTTTGTGACTGGTGCTCCGGCCGTTGCTTTCTCTAATTTGACATCCTGGAGTGGACACTTCTACAACATCACTGGACCCCCAGGTTCGCCAACCTTCGTTACACGTGCGCAATGGGCCATTGTCCATCAGGATGTTCTCAAGCAGTGTGACATGCAAGATGGTCTTGCAGATGGTATCCTCGAGTATCCTTATGCGTGTCAGTACGATCCATCTGGTCTGGTCTGTTCGGAGGGCAGTAACACAACGACCTGCCTGACGCCACTTCAAGTCGAGACTGTGAAGGGTGTCCACGCACCCCTTCTCAACGATTATGGTGACCTTGTATACCCACGCCTAGCACCTGGCGCCGAGCTCGCAGCTGCGCCAATCCTTCTGGCCGGGAATATTTTCCCGTACTCGGTTGATTTCTTCCGTTATGCTATCTACAATGATCCATCTTGGAGCCCGTATACCCTCAACGGAACTGATTACGACAATGCGGCACGCCTAAACCCCTTTAACATTCAAACCTGGGAGGGCGATCTCAGCGGAGTGAACAACCGAGGTGCGAAGGTGCTTCATTGGCACGGAGCTGAAGATCCCATCATCTCAAGCGAAATATCTCCATTATACTACAAACACGTAAGCTCTACCATGCGCCTGTCACCAGAGGAGCTTGACTCATTCTACCGCTACTTCACAATCTCGGGGCTCGATCATTGCAACGGAGGAACCGGTGCACACGCTATTGGTCAGGGTATTGGTCAAGTCAATAGCCTTGATCCAAAGGAGAATATACTGATGGCTATCGTGGACTGGGTTGAAAATGGCAATGCTCCCGAAACAGTTGTCGGCACCAAATTCGTCAACAACACTGAGTCCGCTGGCATCGAGTTCCAGCGAGCGCATTGCAAGTATCCCAAGCGCAATCAATACAAAGGTACAGGTGACTCGAATGTTATCGAGAGCTGGGAGTGTGTGGACCCTTAGAGACTAGGATAGAAAACAGATATGAAAGCCAGTAGGATGTGGTGCTTTAATGCGCGAAGCATTTGGTCGTAACCAACATTACCCATGTTCTGTTATCATGATAATAACAACCACACATTTGTCCTTTTTGACTGTATGCTTTCTTTTCCACATGTTTCCTACCACGACATAGTCACAGCTTGCGATAGTACTAGAACATTACGTTGGCTAGAAGTCGGACTTTAGGATCCGACAAAGCGTGTTATACTCACAATTTGAAATTTTACGGATACTTTTTATTAGCCAGACAATTGGACATTTGATGAAGCAAAAGCACTTTTGCAGAGATGCAGGTGTATGGACGGGGCGGGTACAAAAACCACAGGATCAGGCGGTAACATAGAACGAGGAGCATACCGTGATCGGAGTATATGGAGGATCCGTGCAGCGCATACCATTACTATGTGCAACAACAACCTCGCACTGCTTTTGACTTGAGCATGGTGGAGCTTTGCCATGGCAGTGGGAGCGTCAGATTTGGGGTAGGTAGGTAGAATTGGAATAAGTCAATGAATGTGAATGAGGGTGGTATGCTTCCTATTATCTCATTGTATTGACAGTCCATTCCATGAAAATCATGTAATATTATAGTGATATATACGAGAACTGTTGCACTCAATATATACACTTTTAATGTGGCAAGGACTAGTCATGTCTCTAGTATCGTGGAACTGACGTAGCAGGCGCGGATTTCAAACTGACATAAGACTTATCATGCCCAAAATCAGAATCCTCTGCGTGCTAGGTTCGAGTAGGTAGCATTAAGTCCCGCATATATGATACTCGAGCTCGCTTGCCATTTGCTACGCGGCGGTGAAAGTGAACCCACTTTCACTTTCACTTTCCACACATGAGCAATCGGGGACTGACGTCGACGCATTTCAAGTTACCCCCGCCACTTTGTAAATCTCGAAAACTCGTGATTCTAAGCAAATTTGCTCTTGCTCTATCGGGTTTGCCTGCGACTAGACAACCACTGGACAGCAACTCAACCACGCAACCACACCCTGGGCTTTATCAACTATTTTCACAACCCTCAACCTTCATCCTTTCCATCCTATCAAATCTCGTATTATATATAGCTGCTGCCTCGCCACGCGCACTATATCACATTCCCGATATCAAGGTATCTTCCCTCCGCCACCAAACACCTACAATCACGACACCTCTGTACTCAACATGGCACCTCTGAGCAGGGATGTAGCCAGGAAGGAGGAAAAGTCTTTTGCTTTCGCCACATACAACAACAAGATCTCCATGAAATCGAAAGATACCAGCAGGACGATGGCGACCACAAAGTCACCTTTCGCTCTCGCTTCAGCGTGCCACAGCAACAAGCGCGCTGTGAAGGATCCAAAGGTCGCTCAATCTTTGAAGAACGTGATCAAAGCGATTGACACACCCAATCATTCCTCGAGTCGCGCATGTAAAGGCTTGGTCGAAGCTGTCCGTCGGATCTCGACTAAGGTCCGGCGCAACACAAGCACAGCGTATCGCTACCTCAAAGCTGCCATGAACATATGCAAGGGCAACGACCTCAGAAAGCGCAAACATTACTCAGAGGAAGATAATGAGTCATTGCCATCGGCGGCGCGACGTGTCTGTTTGGGCCTCGAACATCCTGGACGAACCGACAACAAGCTGAAGCAAGACACTGTCGTTGACGAGCAAGATTCAAATGGGTCTGAGATGCCCTGGCAGGACGAGACAAGCGAGGAACATCCTGATTTCCTTGGTCTAGTTGATGGGAGCAATCAGGGGCACTCTCCGCCAACCGGCAGCGGAGATCTCCAATACCTATGCGGTCACTGGGTTCACCCAGCTCATACAGAAGTGGCGATCGACAAGAAATGCCCTAGATGTTGTATGCGAACATGCCTCAAAGATGTAGTGTGCGCAAAAAGGTGGCTAATAGCCAAGGGCGATCCTCGTGAGCTCAGCAAAGACAGGTGGGTGGAATACATGGAGATCTTGAGTGGCAGACACTCATCAACCAAAGGCGAGAACTTGAGCCTCACGCACTCGAAGGCGCGAGAGGCCAACTTGATCGCAGAGATGGAAGAGCTTTGCAAAGTAGAGAAGGCTTGGATGGCGAGCCGAGAGGGTGATGAGGGTGTTGGATCGCTCTCGGAATACGAGACCGAGCACTGCAACTATGGTGCTCATGAAGCCATGCGCCTGCATTAAGAAGTTCAAGCCGGATACACGGTCCTGGCTGACCGGCACTTTGCCAATGTCGGAACCAAGCGTGCTCGAGAGACTCTTGACGAAGTGCCACAGCCTAATGGGCACAAATCCTTCAAGCGCCAAAGGGTGTCGTTCGATGAGGCAGGTTTCGTGTGCGCTGAGGGCGATATCGATGTTCTTCGCGAAGAACATCGCAACAATGCAGCTGTCAAAGAAGACCTGCCGGCACAAGAAACACTTTGACCGAAAATTACGGCCCATCAAAGTGTTCAGACGAAATATCCACGGCCTAGGCCACACAAAGGAAGGTTCGTGGTCTGACGAGCGCGCTCCCGATGCTGAGCTGGTCAACACCAGCGGGTCCAAGATGTCGCCTGAGGAATGGGGGCGCCACGTTCGAGATCTGGAAGTTGAGGCGATTTGGATGGACACGGTAGATGAATGGGAAGGCAGCACAGCAGCGGGTAGCTGCTCTGAAGACGAAGAAGAAGGGATGTTGGCCTTGACTTCAGATCCGCCCACTGCGGAGTCGAACAGCTCAGGACCTCAGGGCATGGCTCGACCTTGGACCTACGAAGATGTCCCGTCCGCCCACTGGAGTGACGGGCAAGTACACAAAATGAGGAGATACTCAGCCTGAATGTGCTAAAATGAATAGAGCATAGCACCACACGTAAGATTGCCTTGGAGTAATCAATGAAAACTTGCTAACATCTTTCTCACAGTGAAAGCGCGCAAGAGCGAGATATAGCAACAATGTATTGGATGTTGAGGATAAAGAATGTTTTTTGTCGGCGTTCGCTTGTATATGTGATACCCTACGAATAACAATAACTGTTTTTTTTAACATAAAGTCTGGCCAAACTGTGAAATCTTCCAGTTGGAATCGAGATAGTGTAGATAGTTATTCACCAAGTTGGATTTCTTCCGATTACTCGTAGCCGTTTCACGTGAAAATACCGAACTAACGTCACTTCCTGAGTGTGAAGCCTCAACCAGTAGTCTGAGCATGAGACTATTCATGCTTCCTGTCCAGACAGGGACTTGTAAGGGATTTTGGCCGTCCCATGGAGTCTTTTGGAGGCAAAGTACCGAGAACCCCTCTGCCTTCATACTCAATCCGGGGTGAAGAGGTGTGTGAGCTTCAATGGGTGATGGCCGCCATGCATGCCCTCAGTGCAATCCAAGCGGCCATTCGCGTCCATCCGAGTGCAAGATACCTCCAGCTTCAATTCTTCCTCTTGATCATCTTCAATTAAGCCAGAAGCCCTTGATGATCTGCGCGTATTGTCCAACAATACGAACATCAGAGGTTCACATAAACAGTGAAAGTGAGAAGTACCGTCCTATCTACTCCTCTCGATCGACAGTGAACTAAAGCGAGTGATAATAGCTATTGTCTTCAGACTCGCAGGTGATAAGCCGGTCCATGGCGAACAGCTTAAACTGCTGATACCGGTTTTTTTTCGCATTCACCTTGCTTCCAGATCAAACCGCTCTCCTCATTGCGCGTTTGCTTCCTCCACCTGGCCCACATAAAACCTGCAGCTACGCACCGCAACATTCACAGAACTCATCACGGACCATAGGCGCTCGATTTCCCCTCTTTCACACCGACTACCCCCATTGTATATAAGGGCTTGCTCATCCAGTACCACACACTCCATCACACCTTCCATCACATACTCTACTACACGCTCCACCACACACTCATCACATACTCCATCACACTCTCCATCATACTCGCGATCACACTCTCATACACACAGTCAACAGCGTTTGACTTGTACTGCTATACCATTCAACCACCCACACATATCAACCACATCACCTCACTTTCAAAATGGCGCCACAACAGAAGCCTGCCGCGAAGAAAGCATCCACGACTGGAGTGAAGACAGGCCGTGTCGCGAAGTCATCCTCACAAGCTGCTCAGGTGGTCGCAGCACCACCTACCATTGCACCGCGCCGCAGCTCAAGGATAGCTGCTGCGAGGGCTGCCGCTTTGGAGACTGTCGCCCAAGTCGCTGAGGTTGTTGTGCCTGTAGTGGCCCCAAGGAGAGGTCGCTCAAAGAAGGCTGCCTCCAACAACACACCAGATGCTGAGCCAGCCAACGCTCCAGCAGCTGTACCAAAGCGAGGCCGCACGAAGAAGGCTGCCGCTGCCACCACCACCACCACCACCCCGACCGTCAACCATACCAACGCGCCGGCAGCAGTCACAAGGATGACGCGGTCGAGGACACTGGCTGCCAGAAGCGCCCAAGGCGCGGCACCAGCTGCTCCTGCTGCGGCCAAGAGGGCAAAAGCTCCCATCTCCAAGTCGACTGGAGGTGTAACAAAGTCGAAAGCCGCCACGAAGGCCACCAAGGGCCCCAAGCCATCAGTTGCCTCCAAGGCACGTGGCAACAAGACAACCACCGCATCTGCAAGCAAGCAGATTGCGAGAGACAAGGAGCAGACGCCTGCTGAGCGGGAGGACGTGGTGATGGAGGATGTCCCGGAACCTGTTGTGGACAACAACGAGGATGACTTGGAGCCTGGTACTCCAAACCCAACGTCAGTAAACCTGCCCGATGGTTCTGACTCGGAGGCGGAAACCACTGCCCCGGCTCCAAAGGGACCCTCTGCAAAGGCTCTGGGGAAGCGACCCCAGAATCCTTTCTGGTCGGTTGGAGAAGGACCGCTGGTCAAAAGGATCCGGTTGGATCGAAAGATCCTTCGTCCTCCCAAGGTGCAAAAGTTCGCAGATGGTCCCATGATCCCGGACCATGTTCCATCGAGGTGTGCCCATCCGATCCATCCTGCCTATGCTGGCACTTCACGGTACGATAATGTCAAGTGTCCACACTGCCGAATGGACGTATGCATCTCAGACATGCAGACCGTCCAGGACCAACTGAGCAGTTACGGAGGATCGGTGGGTTTCCGGAAACTCTGCAACAGTTCCGAAGCACATGCCATGGCCTACCAGCCTATTGTGAAGGGGAGGACGCCCAGGAGGACGAATGACTGGGTGCTACAGGATCCTGTAGGTAAGGACCTGAGTTACAGGCATTCGACGAAGCGTCTCGCGAACCTGGTGATGGAACTCGAGCGGCTTGCCGACGTGGAGATGCAGTGGGAAGGACAGCATCCCGGGGGCAGTGCCGAAGACAAGCACGAAAGGCAACTCTACGGTGCGAGGGGCGCTCTGGCCCGACACAGAGGCTTGTTAGCGGAGGGCAGCTTCAGCCGATTACTGGAGCTCGACCTTGTCGGGTCGCGCAAGCGCGGCCGAGCGCAGGAAGCTGAGGCACTCGATGCTGCCAACGCGAAGGAAGTTGCGTGGGAGCAAGAGAATCTGAGCTCCCAGGAGTACGCCGTGAACGATTCCCGGGTATCGTCCGTGGAGGAGACTGCCAGACTCGCCGCAGAGAGGTCAAAGCAGCCCATGCGCAAGCGTCGCCGCATGGATGCGACGGTCTCTTTCAAGAACGTCGTCTACGTGCGGAATGAGTGCGACGTCGATGTCCTCCGCAAGGCCGACCTCTCCAGGCCTGTTGTTGAGCCGTCTGCTTCGATTTTGCGGACTGCTCCTGCTCCTGCTCCTGCTCCTAATGAGAGGCGCTCAGTGTCGACTGCGCAACTAGCGCCTGACTATAGGCTCTTTGTTCTGGAAGACGAAAAGTTCTCGGCCAAAGATAGGCACAGCTTTCATTCCTGCAATCGAGAGCGTACCCAGCCAGGGAACTTTTGGAGTCGGCTGTCGGACCCTGGGAAGATGATCGTCGAGACGAGCGGTTGCGGAATGGGACCTCAGTCCTGGGACGCTTATGTCCAGTCACTGCAGGATGAAGCGGACTGGCGGGACGCAGAGGATGCTCAGGATGCAGACTTGCAAGACCAAGAGCACGGGGAGTCGGGATCCGACACAGAGTCGGAGCCCAGCGACGAAGACTCTACCTTGAGCTTCCTGCACGCTTCTGTCCATGAGGACAGCCTGGTCCACACCCAGCGTGGAGTCGTCAATCAGCTTACGGGCTTGGAGATTGACGATCCGGAGTCGTACCTGAGGGTAGAGGAGGAGAGACTCGCCAGACAACGTAAGTGCCGAACCCCAGTGTAGACTGTAGAACCGCGACTGACTCAAGAATCCAGGCGAGAGAAACGGACGCTGAAAGGGCATCCACGTGGGGTTCACCAACACATGCATGCGCAGTATCAAAGGTAAGAGCCACTCTGCAGTCATGACCGAGAGTGAGTTGGACTGACCAGATGCAGATTGAACGGACGACACCAGGCGTACCACGTCCTCGGGCGGGCCGAACGCGAATCGAAACGACCACAGCGCCGTACTCCCACCAAGCGTGGGAGAGTGACCGAGACTCCGAGTTGCGTCCAATACAGGGCAAAAGCAAGACGATCGAGAGTGAGAGCGCCCTTGCATGAGTGGCGAGAGACTTGGAATAAAGGTGTACATTGTACACGATGGAGGAAACACGGATTGGTGGGAGATGGAAAGTACACAGGCAGAAGGGTGTAGAGGATGATGACGAGAGAGGGGGCAAACGAGTATCCAATTTACTCGAGGGACAATGATGAAATGAGCGATTGCGAGGAATTGAGAGACTACGATGCAGCGAGAGACTACATCGCAGCGAAACACCACAAAACAAATAAACCTGCCACAACCAAACAACCGGAAACAAAAACCCCCAACTCCCGCGAAAAGTGATCAACCACAGCTGCAAACCGCACAATTGCGATCAACCTGCGAGACAGACCATACCCTAGCCACCTACCTACACAATAATCTCGAGATCTTTCCCTTCACCTGTTTTACAATACCCGTACCTCTCCACAACCATGAACAATGACGTGACATTGCAAGGCCGACCCACCATGAAGGCGTGATGACTGATGACTGGTGACTGGTGATGTGCCATGGCGAGGTGGGTATAGAAAACGCGTGAGTGAAGAGGGAAATGGGTGTGATTACCTATATCATGGGGTGTATGGTTATATCGACCGAGGTGATGTGGTTTGGGAAAACTTGGGCGGTGGGACGAATTATGAACCGAAACACGGCGGGAAATGGAGATGGATGTTTTGGTATACTTGGCCCAAGGCTAAGCCATCGTCCCATCTGCAAAACACATGTAGCCTAGCCTAGATTCCATCTCCATCTTCCACACCAACATATTAGCAAGCCAGATATTTCCAGCACAGGTATTGGCAGTACTTATCCAGCACACTCCAGTCCAAACCAACCCACCAACCCAACTCCCAACAGCCCCTTGTCCCCAAGCCCGCGTTTCCAAGCAGCCGAGCCCCGGGTGCCCGCTGGCCGCGCATGCATGCTAGGGCTGTGTGGGGTGCGGTACAGGACCTAGCGCGCGGGGTTTTTCTTTTCCTGGAGGGGTCCTGGGCTACATGGCTTGGTGTTTTGTGTTGGCGATGTTTGGGGGGTGGAGAAGGTAGCGTATAGGTAAGAGGTATATTGGTAATGAGTAGGTTGGGGTTTGTGGGCTTGGGTTATGGGAAACGTGGGGGGGAAGGGATGAGGGGGTGGCGCTGGGGGTTTGCTGGGTAGATGGGGAAGAGGTATTGGAGGTGTGGTGCGGTGAAGTGCTGAGGTGGGAGAATAGGTATGCGATGTGTGTGGTGTGGTGTGGTATGGTATGTGTATGTCCAGCCACAGACGACGGTACCGAGGCCCAACCCGGAGCAAAGGAACGCCAAACAACGGCGCCACTCCGGCAAACAAACCCGTTACTCCTCGCAAGCAAAGTCGCTCACTTGGCAAGGACCCAGTGGTGTTCAATGAGAACCCATCTCCGAGAACAGAAGGGTGGGTAGGCAGGGATCATCGAGGGCATGGCGTGGTGGTAAAATAAATATATCTTCCCAGAGCGTACCTGACCTGAGTACCCATCGAGCCTGTCTACCTGCCATACTGTAGCTCATGTTCCCATAGCCATGTGTAAGTATGTAAAGCAAAGCAGGCGGAAACCAGGGGGCTACAAGATGACGGCCAAGAGTGCGGGACGGGGGGGGAGGGAGTTTGGTGGTGGTTCTTGGGTGGTGGGTAAGATGCCGGGTTAGGTACCTAGCATGCTGCAATACGCATACAGTTGGCCACGGTGCCTTGCTGCATGTGTACCTACTATGACAGTACCTACATTTGTAAGGGGAAACTTGGCTTTGTCTAGTCATGCAAGCGGGCCCGGGCCTTGGGGAAGTTGGCATGAAGGCAGCTTGTATGGGGGTCCTGGTCTTGCGTGGTGAAAGAATATGTGTATATAAACAGCTGCCTCTGGACTACCGGTACCTGTTGATCGAGTACCGCTTTTGGGAAAGAAGAAGAAGGGGTATACCTATACACGAACGAACATTCACACACACACACACACACAAGGGCTGAGCTACCATGCTACTCCAACCTTTGAGCCTCGCGGCCGCGGCCCTGACATCTGCTGCTGCGGTGGGAGCTGCACCCTCGACACCCCAACGTCCCAGCGATGCCCGAATCCTCCAGGCGCTGGCGGGGACGTATACACTCGTGAATACCAGCAGGTAAGTACTAGACTTACACCTTTTCACCTCCACCTCCACCTCCACCTCCACCTCCACCCCCACACTTCCCCGCAACCCACTAACCCACCAACCCCCCCCCCACCAGCACGCTAAACAACGTCCCCGTCCCCGACCTCGCGTACGGCGCCGCCCCCGTCGGCCTCCTCACCTACACAGCAGCCGGGTACATGAGCGCGACCATCACAGCCACAGAACCCGAACTGCGCCCCTCGCACCTAATCTTCCCCTTCCGCGCCAACGACAGCGACAGCGACTGGGCGCTCGTGGGCAAGCACAGCATCGGGTACGCGGGCCCGTTGCGCATCAGCACCGACGTGCCGGCCAACGAGACGCAGGGCCAGGTGTTTCATGGGCCGTTGACGGTGGCGAATGTGCCAAGTTGGGCGGGACAAAGCCAGAGGCGGAACTATACGATTGTGGACCGGATGGAAGAGGGCAGGAGGGAGCGGTATTTGCGGATTGGGAGTGAGAGGGGGAATGGGAATAGGGGAGTGCTTTGGTGGAGGAAGATTGCTTGAGTGGTGGGTGGGTGGAGTGAATGGCAGTGTTGGGAATGTTGGTATATGCATGGCCCTTGTGATAACCACGACCTAGGACTACGAGGGCTAATCGTGTAGCCATCTCATTCCCCATTCCCTTGATCATCTGTAACTCCCATCTCCAACTCCCAATGTTCCCAAGCATGAATTCAGACTCCGTGACACTCAACTGTGCAAGAGGTTGAACAAAAGCGAGGCTACCTAACCCCCAGACTTCATTTCCACATCTGCAGTGGCCTCGTCGTCCGTCTTCTTCGCTTCCACTTCGCCACCTGCCTCGGCCTTTGCACTCTCTTCGCCTTCCTTCATAGCCGCATCTCCGCCTTGCTCCTCCTCGGCCTTGTCCTCACCCTCTCCCTCCTTGGCCCCAGGGCTCTTGCTTGTCCTCTCGCCCACACTCGGCCGTCCAATGGCGCCCTCGATATTCAACCCCTTGCTCTCGCGTTGCGGCCCCGTATCCTCCATGCCGATGACGTCAGGGCCCCTGGCATGGGGAATCTCCTCGTCGGCCTCGACCGTCTCGATGATACTGCCTGGATCGTGCATTTCAGCAAATGTCGAGCGTGTGGGGCTCGTGGTGAGCGTATGTGGGTTGTTGAGGACAATACCGGCTTCTTGTTCCTGGCGTAGGAGTTCGCCTTGGGTGACGGGGCCTGTCGAGGGCAAGGTCTCGCCGTCGGGATGGGACGAGGCGATTTGGGCAACAGGTTGCGAGGTGCTGGGCGTGTCTGGGCGAGGTTGTTGCTGTTGCTGTTGTTGTTGTTGGTTCGAGGTCAGCATGCCGACGGTGACGGTTTCGATTCTCCCGGCGCCGTTGGGCCCATCAACCATTTCAGTAGACTCGGATATCAATTCGCTCTGGCCGCGATTCTGGAGCCATGGAATGGGGGTGAGCAGAGCACCGCCTAGCGATTCGTCGGATCCGAGTGTGGCTGAGGCTGAGTTGGCGGGTGCTGTGCCATTGAGCAGTCCGCCGGCCGTGGGCAGGACGGCTTGTGGGAGGGGGAAGAGGGTGAGGGGCGAGGAGACGGAGATGACGCGGTCGATGGCACGCAGGTAGGCGGGCAGGTATCTGTATCGCCGTCTGGGCTCTAGCACGAGTTCTGCCAGCCGTTGTACCGTGTGTGGGGGATGCTTTGCAAAGTTGGTGGAGAGGGTTGTCCGTATGGAGGCGTAGAAGTTGGCGATGTCTTGTGGGAGAGTCTGGGGCCCGGCTGGGGCAGCAAAGGCAGGCACAGGCGGCCGTGGAGGTGTGTCGGGCGGGGCATTCTCCTTGTCTGTGGCATGCGACTCTTGGCTCGAGATGGCATTGGATGTGTTTGGGCGCGAGGGCAGATCGGTTGTGGCCGAGGCAGTCTGATCGGAGAGTGTGGGCGCGGGAGTGGGTGGTTTGGGGAACTCGTTGACAATCTGCACCGCCCGTCTGTCGTCAGTTCTGGGGAGGTGTAGGTGTGGGTGGAAGGAAGGTGAAAGGTAAGGGCTAGGCTAGGCTATGCTATGCTATGCTAGAGGCTATGATACAGAGCCAAAAAAAAAAGGGGGGGGGGAAAGGGAGCAGACTGACCTCATCCAGGCGGTCCAAGATGTACTGCAGCGTCTTTGGCCATTCTGCCCTGCAATGCACATTAGCAGCCTCGAGGCAGACTTGGTCATGCGCACACACGTACGAGTCGAGCGAGCCGTCGTCGGCAGCCTGGCGCAGGATAGCCTCTGCTGCATGAGAGATTAGCATGGTAATAGGTAATCGGTTGCTATGCGCATGGAGTTAGGCAGCCTACCGGACGTCATGCCTGTGTTTGTGAAATCAAATTGTCTCTTGCCCGCTGACGACGACAAGACAGGGACAACGACAATAGGAACAAGACAGGAACAGGAACAGGAACAGGAACAGCCACAGCCTTTGTCGATGACACCGGAATTCGGAATCGCCGACTGCCTGCGCCACAACACAATGCCAATCTGTCTGGGGGTGTTGGGGAACGCGAGGCGAGCAGGGTGGGCGATGGTACGATGGGCGGTGTTGTTGCCAAGAGAGAGGCGCAGCTGCAGCGGCTTCAGAAGGAAGCAGATGTAAGAGTACCGATTGGCCTAGCCTGGGAACCCACAACCCAGCTGAAGCCAAGTCTTGGGGGCAGTGAACAGTGAACGGTGAACGGTGAACAGTGGGCAGCGGGCAGCGGGCAGTGGGGAGTTGGGTATCAGATGGGATCCTCCTGTTGTACAATCTGTGTGGACCACACCTGGAGAACAGGTTAGGTACTATAGAGTAGTATCACCACACCCCGTACCTGTGCCAATCCCATTGCTACTCCTAGAGTACCGGTACCATTCTACAATACATACTCCCCATCTTACTCGAGAACTACCCTCCCTACCTTGGCGTACTCTACCATGCATGGGGACCCCATTCTCCACAACCTCATAGCCTACTACTCCCCTAAATCTACCCTTTTCTGCACCTGTAAAAGGCCTACACTTGTGCACATCAGCGTCTAGACAAAAGACCCAACCCAACCCACCCCTTCAACCCTCACGTTCCTGTTATTGTACAATCCTATAACCCGTGTTGTCTCCACGTCTCCACACCAATAGGCTGAAGTGGCCGACCTCGACAGCCCTCGCCGCTACTTGGCCCTCTCCGCCCTGCTACGGTAATAAGTTCACATACGTACCCTACCACTCACTGCCGTCGCTCGCTCCTTGTGCCGCCTCCTCGTCCGGCCGCCGTCCCTTGTTGTTGTCGGTGGTCTTCTTGTTTTTCTTCTTCTTCTTCTTGTTCTTCTTCTTCTTCTTCTTGTCGCTCGCTCACCCTCTACTTACACTGGCCATCCATCTCCTCTTCCAACCCACCACCCCCTTTGGCCCCCACCCCCCCGACGTCCGCCACCACACTCTTCGCCAACCCGCTTGGCCCTCTTCCGCACAGCCAAGCCGCCTCCAGTTTCACCATTGGCCCACCTTTCCAGGCACTCACTTCATCGAACCGACTTGCCAGGTTTCAGCCCACCGCCAGCGCCCTCTGCTGCGTTTCAGCTGTGCTTCTCAGCCCTGCCAATCGCCTACCTATCCTTCACCGGCTACTCTCGTCGCACCCCTTCGCACGCTGGCACCTGGTTTGCGCCCACACACCTGGCTGGCCCTGCCCGCACATCGCACACTCCCTATATCCACCCCCCGTTCAGCCGCTCTCCGCGGCTGCTACTCCTGTCAAAATTTCGCACCACGAGGCAAGAGCATCCCTTCTGGGAGGACAGCCCCTCGACAGCAACTACCAACCCTACACAACGTATCAACCACAGTATCCCCCCCCTCAGGCGCGCTTCGACGCCCAGCCTGGGGGCTACCACCACCGCGAGGGCTTCCCCACCACCCTCCCGCCGCCCGTCCGTCGCGCCCCCAGGATGTACTGGCCCAATACGCGGTGGACATGGGCCTTCATGTTGACGGCCATCTTCCAGGCTGTCGTCGGCCTCGCCCTTGAGTCGTACGTCCATCTTGCCCTCTGCCTCTTGAGCAGACACAACAAGCCCACGGTCGTGACCTTTGACTGACCTCGACCCCTTTAGATATGTCTTTGGCAAGTTCCAGGCCAGCATCCACTTTGCCGCCGAAGTACACTCGGAGACGCGCTCGATCCCCACCTATCTCGCCGTCTTCATGTTCGGCTACATCTACCAGCTGTTTCTCGTCTGGGACGCTCTACGGATGAAGAACACCATTCAGGTCATTGGCCTCGTCTTGTACAACGTCGGTATCCTCGTCTATGCCGGTATCCAGTACGACCAGATCAGGGATGCTGCAGACGTCCTCAACACGAGCCACTTCATCCCCGAAGGCTTCTGGCAGGACGTCAAGCCCATGTTGATTGCCCTGCCCATTCTCATGGCCGCCGCCACCGTCGCCTTTGCCTTTGAGGCCTGGAAGCTGTACGACGAGTTTGCGTGGACCATTTACAAGCGCATCAGTGCCGACACGCGACTGAAGAAGCGTTACTTGACCTATCAGGTAGGCACAGTCTGGCCCTTGTGTCTGCCCATCATCGCTGACCTGGCAGATCTACATCGCCCTGCTCAAGTTTGACTTCTTCTTCTTCCTCGCCTTTACCGTCCAGTTCCTCGTTGTCGTCGACAACACCAAGACGATCGAATTGGCCCTCACCTCGGTCGCCCTCGTCATCACCTTTTTCCTCCTCTTCGCCGCCGGTTGGTGGGTGCGCCGCGAGTCTTTTACCGGCATGATTGCCATCATCTTTGTCTACTTCATCGCACTCGGCTACTTCCTCTTCAAGCTCATCCGCATGTACGTGGCCGACCGGATCCGCCAGGAAGACTACAAGCCCGCCCGCAAGTCGTTGACCGCCTTTGCCGTCCTGACCATTCTCCTCCTCCTCGTCACCATCATCACGGCATGCTTGTGCACTCACAACTTCAACAAGGGTCTCAAGCCGCATGTCAACGACAAGACGGTCAAGGCTGACAAGGCCTTCAACGAGATGCCCTCCCTGAGTGGACCCAACCCATCGCAACGGATGGAAATCGACTAAAGACGGAGTACACATTTGTACAAAAAAATACTTTTTACGACATGAATTTTCTTGGAGCCCATTAGTGTGAGCACAGGCTCTGAATCATACCCGGTCGCGACATTGGATCACCAGCGGACATTTGGCGTTTTTTTGTTCTTGTTTGTTGTTGATATACTCGGTTCTTGATCTAGGATAGGGCGAGATACCTTGGGCCTCATTTTTTGGTGAGGCATATTGTGGAGTGGAGGACTGGAACTGGGCAACTAGGTGGAGGATGCGACAGGTTCTGTGCGCAATGCAAGAAATCAAATTCGCTACTGTGTTATTCGTACAGCTTTGTGTAGTGTCAAGTCTGAGATGTGGTGAAGTGTTGGGGAGAATGGTGTGAGTGTGCGCGTTTGATCAAGAAGCAAGAATCTTGCCCGTTTCTTTTTTCTCTGATGATGGGCGACAATGATGTGGAGAGAGTGATTAGACGGGTTACATGCTTGACAGCTGTACTCTACTGCATGGCACGTTGGTACTATAGTGGACCAGTACAGCTGTACTCTGGCGTCCAATGCACCCCGAACCAAACCAAACTAGACGCATCTATATACTGTACTATACTATACCGTACCATACCGTACCGTACCAGACCAGACCGTACTCGCACATTACGCGTCCAGTACACACTACGCGACCATACACCGCACATCGCACACCGCACAATCGGGGAAATAGCCGAGACCGGGGCACCGGAGCACCGATCAACAACGACGCGATCAACAACGACGGGAGGCGGGTTTGGGAGCTTTCTTTCTCTCTCTCTTATTCTGGCTTCATTTTACTTGCTGTTGCTTTTCCTTTGCACACACGATACTGCGGTAGTATAGCAGTACGAGTACGGCACGACAGTACAGCACAGCACAAGACGCACCCGCAAGCCTTTTGTTCCGCCCTCCTTGCCACTTGACTCGCTTACGCTGGCTGTGGAAGAGGACAGCGCGCGGTAAGAGCTTGGGTTTCTAGAGATTGGGGGAGAAGGAAGGAAAAGGAAAAGGAAAAGAGGGTTATTTTTGGAGTCAGTTGAGGCTAGAGGGGGATTTTTTTTTGAAAAGGGAGATTAGAGGTGAAGATTTGAGATGGCGTTTCGGTGGTATGTTATTTTTTGTTTTTGGGTTTTGGGTTTTGGGTTTTGGGTTCTTGGTGCCCGAAGG